GACAGATGAATGAATTACTGTCGTAACAGGCAATGGTCTCACCCTCTGCTGTCTACACACGAAGAATGAATAAATGCATTTGTATGGTCATCTACATGAAGCATAAACAATACACAGGTATACTCCCTGTTACAATCATTCATGACCAGGGCTGGTTATCGTTGGAAATGTGTCTGTACTAATACTGACCTATATGGTGAAGATTTTTAGTATGGAAGTTGAAAAGATTCAAGATTCATTTTGGATTTTATACTGGATTCAACTAATTTTGTCATTTATATATAAAATAATTTAACATTCAACAGTGTGGAAATTAAATGTATAAACGTAAAGAAATAACATATTGGTAGACAAAGGCTAGATGTAATCTACCCAGTAAAAGGAATCCAAAGTCTGAAGTTGCTATTACGGTGTGCTCCCACGTTTCATGTTTTTCCCATTCCTTTACTCTCTTTCTTTCTACAGAGAGAGATTTCTCATTAGAATTGGTTGAGATGCAGGTGAGCGAGGGGTTACATTTAAATTCAGCCATTTGTATTCCACCACAACACCCGGGGAGCAGGCTGTTTATATTGATGAGCAGATAGAGTTGGCCTTGGACCAGGACCCACGCCTAACAGCCACATAAATCATTTGGTTTCTTAGAGGCCCCTCCAAACAGATAGATCCCACCAGCTTATGACAGCGTGAGGACAATCTTCTCTGTCCTGAAGGTACGTCGATACTCGGAATCAGACTAAACAGATGTCTGGTATCATCCACAGTGTGAAGAAGGATTCAGAGTAAGTAAAAAAGGTCAAACAAAAAGACCTTTAATCATGCAGAGACAATAATGCTGTACTTTAAGATAGAAATGTTGTTATGGACAGTTATGGTGTGATAAAAAAAATATCATTAAGGTAGCTAACTGGACAGAATATGGAACCATCTAGGGCCAACTATAACCTGGGTCCATTTCCTCTACTATCTCTCAGTCCAAATAAATAATGAAAACACTAAAGGAGAGTAGACTACCTGCTTTTCTTTGGTTCTCTCAGGCCAGTCAAGTATTTTGTCTGAAACCCTTTTTTTCTTTCACTGAAGTGAGAAATACAGTTCCTTGTGAAAATCCAAAGCCAGCAACAATATATTGGAAACAAGAAGTGGATAACTCTGTTGCATCTGGGAAAATAGGCTTACTGCCTTTCTCAGCTAGCCTGAGAAATAGCTCCAGCGTGTAATTGATATACCACACTTTTTTTTAAACAAACAAGATGTAACATGTTAATTACAGAACTGGAGAGGTGCTGGCACAGGAGGACTTTGTTACCTTAACTTTGTTACCAGGCTAGCTGTTTCCCACTGCTTCAGGTCTTATGCTATCTTATGCCTTTGTTTGATGAATCTGTACAAAAAAACTAAATGTAAAAACCACAAGTTGTGGTTGAGCAGGGAGATATGTGCTGGTACTATTTATTGGACAGAGATAGGCTAGCTGTTTTCACCTGTTCCCAGTCTCAATGCTAAGTTAAGCTTACCAGCTGCTGGCTTCCAATAAGCCAACAGCCAACAAGAAACAGCATATTTCCCCACAGAATTACAGTTTGCTGAAAAAAACAGACTGCATTGCAAACAGTTGGATACAAAAATAAATTGTTATGCTGAATGGTAGATGAATTAACTAACAAATAATAAAATATTATATTAAATATTGGGGAATGAATAAACATGCATTAAGCAGTGTCAATAAGGAAAATCTTCTAGGCTGGATCAGATAATTGCACAGGGAGTCATGAAGGTAGAATAAGGCCTAGAGGAAGGTTGTGCAGGTGAAAGAAAGAAAAAAAACAATAAAATAAAAATGGAGGTGCAGAGCCAGATATAGAACAGTGTCTCCTCTGACTCTCCAGGCTGTCTGCTGCTGAGCAGTTTGTGACTCAGTTGTGCATGAAGTCGACTTTCTCCACAACCCTGGAAGATGGAGGAGAGCAGAAGCCCCTCAAGAGGGGCCTCACCAACCATTTTCACATCACTCAGCCTCTTTCTCTCCCTCTCTGTCTTTGTATCCATCTATTCATCTATTTGTTTATTCATGTCCTTCTTCCTGACACTTTAGCTGTGTCTCTCTGCACCTCCCTGTCTCTGCTTCTCATACAGACACTGACAAAACACACATACACACTATCCACTCAGTCACATCTACACACACACCCTCTTTCTCACACACAGTAGCTCTTAAATATAACATGCACAGACAGGAGTGTTGACACAGAGAACCGTCAGAGAATTGTCAGGCTCGTATCAAAGAGACACCTAAGAAATATCTAGATGCGTTCATCTGAAACGACGTGTGCTAGGAGCAGCCCACGGGGGCCTCTGTGCATGCGTGGATCCTTCTACTCATCTGCAGCTACTCTGATCTCAGAACTGCTGCCACGTAATATCACTGCTTTCGAACCATGTGTGAGAAAGCCGCTGCTTCAACTTGTTGGTGTACAGTGGTATTTATGGAAAGGAGGTTATTTGTGAGAGAGTCAGTGGGTCACGGACAGAGGGGTATTTGTTTGGCTCCGACACAACGGAAATTTGACAATGACTATGAGGTTAAACTTTAATTTGAAGGTATTTCCATCCACATCCCATCGACTGTATTGGAATTACAGTATAATTCTTAGATGTAACTTCCCAATTTCGGGGGACAAAATATAATTGATAATTAAGAGGAGAATTCTGGCTTCCTACATTTCAACATTGTGTTGTACCAGCAGAGAATACAGAGGAGAGCTGAGAAAATGCTCGAGACAAGTCAGACAGTGTCAGAAACATGAGTAGTCAGATGACCATGAAGGTTTAAAAACCCCACAGTTTAGAAAAACGTATTTGAGAGAAAACAAAGGTTAAAAATTGAACAGACAGTCCGTTGTAAACACTGACCTACTCTGCAGAAATGTTGGCCTGATCCTGAATCTCAGCATTTGCTTTGGTGAGCACATTGTTATCATTATTGGTGATGAGATAAGGGGACTGACATGCATCAAAGATGCCCAGCTAGACTGAGCTGGTCTCATGGTCAGGCCATATCCTGGATTGCTTTTTCTTAAAAATACCTCATCATATTTAAAATTTGGTTGCAAATCAAATTACTGGCAGGATTCTAGGATTCACAGACATCAGTAGATGGTTGGCACTCTCCCCGGGTATTTCCAAGCCTGTACTGCAGCCATCTGCACTTGTCGCTTGTTTCGGGGGCTTTTTGCCTTCAGTCTGGTCTTCAGCAAGTGAAACACATGATGAGTTGGCCCTTAAAGCGACTGTTCTGGACAGTAGCTTGGCCATAAAATTGCTTGGTTGCCTTCTAGGTATGTTGCAGCACTCTGATAAAATTGGGGCTCCAAACAACTGCTAAGCATCCTGCTGTTCATCCATATGCAATATAGATTCAAATGAGGTGTGAACATCATTAAATCCCCTTAAAACTAAGACTCAGCACTATATTTTAATTTCAAATCAAGTACAGTCAAATAGGAAATGCATCAATTCTCAAATTCTTTCTGACTACACTGTGTATGAAAAGACTGGACAGAGAGATTTACAGTTAAAACACATGACACATGTAGAGTTAATATCATAACTCAAAGCGCTGATTGGGTGATCTGTTTTTTTTTGCGTACTCTCCCCCACTTGGCATTAAAACACACAAACACAAACAATAATACTAACCACACTCCCTGACAGCCACATGAGAGAAACCGGTGAAAGACAGCACTATGGTGGTAAACAGAAACCTCTGTGGCCTTCTATTGAACGGCCTGGGACCTGAATGCCACCGCTCACAATGGATGCTTCACGCTTCACTGTGTTTCAAACAACAAATTCAGTCTGCAGCTACTACAGTAAGTGTGGCCCTCTATGATTTGGCCATTGAAAACTGTGGACTCAGCCTCTCTGGCCTGCAGCACACCTTCACAACAACAACAACCGGCTGCCGCAGCGAGGTGACAGGGGTGGTATGGACAGAATGAATGAGATTCAAAGACGGTCAGACTGACAGATAGGCAGAGGCAAAGCGAACAACTGAAATAGGCACATAAATGTTATATATGTATAAGCGGAGAGAAAGAGAGAGAGAGCCCACCCATTGCCAAAAAAAACCCAAGCGTAGCACCAACAGCAGAGGCGGATGAGCTCAGAGCCGTCAGAGTCCCTTAACTCTCCACTCAGCTGTGAGTGCAGCGTCCCCGCCTGGCTCGGCGTGCTGCGAGGGCCGAGGTGGGATCCTTTTTTCACAGTCAACTGGGCGGTGGACACACATCACACCGTGTCACCTCACACTCACAGAGCATTAGATCAACTCCCCGCTGAATCACAGGCACAATTTCAACACTGCCGAATGAGGGGATGAGCCAAAGGTTACTGAGGGTCATTATTTTAAAAACCCCTTGTGTGAGTCAATTCTCTGGGCTCTAATGCACACTGAGACCGTGTGCTTAAGGGAGCTACTTTAGCTGTTAATTGTGCAACTGCCATTAGGGAACTTTTCTACCTCTGCGTGCTCCATTACGACACATTATGTGTCAATAAGAGAGAAGCACTAGGCACAATTTAGGCTCTAAGTGCTATTTTGTGATTTCTAAGTATTGACGCCCACTGTCACAGCAGTGGGCGAGGATGAGAGGGTGTGTTACCTTGACAACCATATGCATCAAACGGACAGTTGGACACTAGACACACACTGTTGTTTTTCTGTATTTGTTGCCAAACCCTCGCTGCCAAAATGGATGCCGACACAAAAACACACTTTGCCAGTGGACAAATGCCAGTCAAGCAAGCAGCGACCTTTGCCTCACAGCGAGAATAAAAGAGTAGGCATCACAACTGAGACCGAAAGAGAAAAGAGTCATAGCGGTGGAAAGGTCGGGTAGTCGTTCAGGGACTTAGGAGCTCTACAGAAAGTGGTAATATTAATACATTCACACCCTAGCAGTATCATAGATGAAGATATTTGGACTGGAGACACTTGCCAGGCAGGGAAAACAGACTGACGTTTGTGTGTGTTCACATCCTTCAGGAGGGGAAATGCCTTTGAGAAGAACAAGAACGTTTGATTCTGAAAAGCCGGAAGTTCACACTGTTTTGGAAAATGATGTTGGTGAAGATTGTGTGACGAGAAAAAAAATGGAGGGAAAGTCTGACAGAAATGTTTCCAACTTACCAGAAAAAAATTGAATCCCCTCTATCCTCTGCTTCCCTGGCTAGTTGTCTGCTTCTTCTGCTGTGGTTTTCTTCAATCTGGTTGAACAAAATGGAAGAGAATAACAAATTTGACCTCTCGTGATTTCGATTTTTCTCTCGTCCCTTCATGGAAAGGAAAGTAAAATCCGATTTTTCTTAATAAGGTTTCTGGGGAAGAAGTTTTGTGCAGCTATAATATGCAAATTTTCCAACAGCCAGTACATTAATTTGACTTCACAGTGTGCCTACTACTCCATGTTTGGTTTTATTATAATCTGCTAAAATCCTTTAACATTGGAAGTCTCCTGCTCTGTCATAGTCACACTACAGATTACACACCAGGATGTTCCTACACGAAATCTCTCCTTCTCATCAAACACTTCTCCTTTAGATGCATCATCCATGAATGTGTGGACTCTTTGGAAATGCCCTTAAAACACTTCCAACTGTGACAAGTTTTGGTGGTGAAAAGAAAGCAAACATCCAAGTGGTGTAAACCAAAGTGTGAACATGGATTTTCAGAGGCAAGAGTGTGTAATCCAAACTGATAGACACAAAAGCCTGTGGCTGAGAGTTGGAGGAGAGACACATCTCCTCCCCTCGTCTCTTCTCTTGTCTCAGCTCTCTGATCTCTTCTTCTCTTTACTACTCCTTTCCCTTCTACTGTCGTCCTGTCCTCTTCCCTCTCACCTTGTCTCCTCTTCTCGGTACTCTCTTAATTTTCCTTTCCTCTCCTCACCCCTTCTGTGTTATCACCTGCTGTATAACTCGGCAAAACTGATCCACTTTTCTCCTTCTATCTCAGGAGTGTTTGAGGTCAGGAGACCATGTGGAGCCACATAATATGCAGACAGGCGTGGGAGCTTTCTAAGACATATATACAGATGTTTTTGAGATTAATCCTAATTTCTCCATAACCCATGTCATGGAGTCAAGGGCCGGAAAAAGCTTAGGTGTCTTCTTCTCTATCCTGTCCTTTGCCTTTCTCTCCTATTATGTCATCTTTTCTTTTTTTACACTATCCCCTCCTCTCCGTAAATCTCCTTCATTCTTTCATCACATTTTTAAGCCTTACAATAAAGTAACCCCCCAGCAGACGTCATGGGAGATTATAATATGGATGTTCTTCTTGACATATTTTTTACAATAACAATAAAGATTGTTTTAGACAAATAATAATTCCTATCTTGACTTATTTTCAATAAAAACGTATAAAACATAAGCCAGGTTGTAAAAACCAAAGGACATATCATATTTCAAATTATATGACACTTTAAGACAACTCCTCGCTGTGATGATGTGGGATCTTAACATGGGCTCACAGGCCAGAAAAGACTCAGATGTTCTGTCCTAACCTAACCTGTCCTTTTTATCCTTTCCTCTTCTCTAATAATCTCCTTACATTATATTTAATCTCTTTTCTAGCTTCCTATTCTGTCCTGCCCTCCTTTGTTTCATGCCCAATCCTCTCCTCTCCTCAAACACTGTCACAATGAACACAGACACACCTACTGGAATCGATGGGCAAAATGATTGAAGAACCCAATCCAATTTACTTCTAGCATAGGCTTATCGACTTCAGTCTGCAGCTCCAAATAAGAATGTGGAAGCCCCATTGAGAGTCGCCATACGGTTAAATATGAACACTGCTTTCTGCACTGCCACACAGATCCAATTGTGAACTATAGGTTTATATTAATTCTGTTTCACACCAATAACAGTTGTTGTTTCCTCTCAAGATCATCATTTTGTTTTACCGAACAACAGTCAATTCTGCAGCATCTGTACACTGTAAGCTTATCTAAAAACACCTGAGGTGTTTTTTAATTCTATTCTAACTTATTTACTTCAACCTTTTGTACAATTCATAGCTTTAGAGAGCCTTAACACCATAGCATAGTCAATAAAATATTACTTCTTACAGAATATTAAACCGAAAATCTGGTCTTCCCACAGCCGTGAATTTGAAAGGATCCTGACCCAGATTTTAAAAAGCACTGACATACATGCTATTCACTCACAGTATCATATTGTATTATTGCTGACACCTGTGCTGCTGACACCACACCAAACCAAAGAACTACAGTTCAGCTATCATCTTGTTCAGCTCTTACAGTACAACCTTACCAAGCTCATCATTTCTGCCTCGCTGTGCATTTGCTAGATAGCAGTGAAACAGCTGATTACAGCTGAGATCCATGAATAAAACACAACAACAAAATGACCTTTCCACATCCTGTTTGAATGAGCTGAAGGCTGATCCCATCAAAAGCGGCCTCCCCCTATGACATCGAGCCAGCCATCCAGCCACCCCACCTCTGCCCTTAGACACCACAATGCCGAGCTGAGCTCAGTCCAACCGGCTGCCATGGTGATAAGAATACGGACGGAGAGCCGAGACTGAAAATAGTCCGAGATCGGATGCCGACAGTGGGCAGTGATCAGGACAACAAAACACCTCACAGCAAGAAACACACAGTGCCCTCAATACATCAGGGAGCACTCTCGTGCCATGAGACAGACATATCAGACGGTTGAATTTGGATTATAAATAGAACAACAACATTTTACAACAAGTTGCCGCTCATAGTGATAACCCACAGAGAATTAGCAGCTGATATTGCAGTTCCTCTCAGGTCCACAGAGAGTTTTTAGTGTCTATAAACTAATTGTTTTGGTTTTACAGCCCACAGCTTTACTATTTTGGTTCACCCTCACCCCTTACATCAGTCATTTCCAGCAGCAGGCAAAAGTTTCAGCTACAAAAGGTCCAATACGCTACCATAACATGTCAGGTAGGAGAAAATACGGTTGCTGAGAAATTTGAGAAAAAAACACAAAAGGTCCTATCTAGAGCGAGTGCTTTGTTTGTCTGCTCTGAGCTGCTGTAGAGACATGGTGGTTCAACATGGTGGACTCTGTACAAGAGGACCTGCTCCCTCTGTAGAAAAAAACTGATCATTTTAAGGTAACGAAAACACAATGATTTTTATTTTCAAATCATTATACACATGCAAACATACCTGAATATTATATTCCATTTCTGCCAATGGATCCTCCTAAATGTTACACACTTTACTGTACTGCTGCCTTAAAGACAAATATCAGAACCGCTTAACCAGAGATCTAATGGAGTCTTAAAACATTTGTTTTTATAAAGAGGAAAAAAAAATCCCTCTGAAAACATATTTCTATTTCACACGTCATGCAAAATGTGACACATGCATGGGTGTCCAGTAAAGTGAGATGTTGACAGATTGAACAAGCTCACTGCAGATAATGCCAGGTAGTGAGGTGTCACACGTTTGTGTAATGAGAGTCTGTTGATTTTCTCCTCCCGGCTGTGTTATTTTGACAGACAGAGGAAAGGGGCTCAGCACCGGCGAATCGGCCTGTGGGTTTAATTTCAGACTCTTGCCTAATGAGAGGCACAGTGTGGCTGTAGACGATACCGCTCTCCCGATGAAGCATCATTACCGCCAAAGAGGGGAGAAATAATTAGAGCCGGAACACACTCTCCCCCTATGATGAATTTACATTAGGGGACAGGGCTCGCAGACACAGAGATGTGCTTTTATTCCGTGATATTGAAGACAAGCTGAGAATCAGAAGAATAAACGGCAGAATAAAGATGATATGTTGACGTGCAAGTGCTGGAAAAGTTCAAAATACCCATTAAAATGTTGATAACATAGCTGATTGTCAGCGGAAACAATAATTGATGTCTCACTGCAGAAAAAGTGTGCACCGGAAATTCTACCAAACTGCAAGAAATATCCTCACATCCTCCCCTGTCAATACGTCACAGGACACAGTTAGAAGACAAAACCAAGTGGATTTTCTGTTTTAATAAGTACATGGGGCTGCAACTGATGATTATATTCCTTATTGATCAAACTGCAGATTGTTGATTGATCGATGAATTGTTTGGTGTTTAGAATATAAAAGAATAGTGAAAAAGTAAACATTTTCAGCTGTCCTGTTTTGCCCAACAGTCTATGACTCAAACATCACATAAGACAAAGAAAAGCAGCAAAGCTTCACAACTGAAAGTGTAAACTAGGGAATATTTGGGATTTTTGCTTGAAACAATGAATCAGTTATCATTACATAGTTGCTGACTAAATTTTTGTAAACTAATCAATGAATTGTTTGACCTCCAATCGATTTATTGTTCATGTATTGTTTATTTAGAGAAGAATAGTCCTAAAAGCTCAAGGCAACATTATCAAATGTCTTGTTTTGTATGACCAACAATCCCAATCCAAAAAATATTTAATTTATAATAATCTAAAAAAAAGAACAGCAGCGATTACTCACGTTTGAGAGGCTTGCAGCATTAAAAATTAAGTATTTTGCTTGATAAATAACTTCAACGATTACTTGATTATTAAAAATGTTTTGAATCATCTAATAATCAATAAATTGTCTCAGTAGTAAAATCATCCAGACTGTGGACTATCACCTGCAGATCAGCAGGAGCACCTCAAGCTTTACTTTCTACACAACAGGTGACTGTATAGCATAAAATACTCTTCAACAACAAAGAGAATACGTCACCTTTATCTCTGTATGTGTCAATAATTCCCCTCAGTGCGTGCATCCGTTGTGTGAGAGCATAATTCAGCTGTCATAATCCCAGCGGCTGTGTATTCCTCGATGAGTCTGCTGTGACTGACTGACAGTAAAGAGAGACGAGCTGATTCCCTCACAAAATCACCCCCACCCCTCAACACACCCACAACCCCTCCCTCCCCTCCCTCCCCTCCCTCCCCTCCTCCCACGTCCCTCCACTGACCCTCCCTCCCCTCTCACAGTGGGATTAAAACAACCTTTTGTCTCTCTACAAAAGGGGTTAAACATTTCCTGGTATCACATGAACAGCTAGCAGAATCCAAAAAGTTACTGGGTGGGTTTTAAAAGCACATTTGTACAAGAGCATTAAATATTCAACAAGTTTTTTTTGTTTTGTATCAGACGCAACTGTCAGCAGGATGAGGACATGACAGAGCATAACATCCTGCGATATGAGTTTGGCAGAGCATGAAAGCATAAAT